TAAAGAAAATACAGTTGAGAAAGGGGACACTCTGCTTTCTAGCAGACAAGACAGGTAGGAAGAGAAGTATGGTAAGAAGCATGCTGAATAATACAGGCATGCAGCTGTACTCCTTTGCACTTTCATATATTTGTGGTAGACCTTATTATTCCTTGAAAGACCACTGTATACATACATCTCCTTTGAAAGAAGGAGAAAATTTGGTTGGGTGATCATGACTGTGTCTAATTATTAAACTCATTCCTCTATAATATTCTATGTCATTGACACCAAGCAGTCTCTAATATTTTTTTACATGTTTCCACCCTAAGGTATAGAACCACTGTTTGCAGATCATAATATTGAAAACCAGTTAATTTTTCATACGTTATAAATGTTTGTAGATTGAATTTGATATTAGGGCCCGTTTAGCCCCAAATTTAAAAACGTTTATTTTCAAAAGGATGCTGGATAATTCTACAGAACGAATAGTGTGTTTCATGCACTTATATTGAAAGAGGTCATTATAAGAATTACAGTTTATGGGGCTGGGGAGATGGCTCAGCAGTTAAGAACACTGAATGTTCTTGAAGAAGACCCGGGTTCAAATCCCAGCACCCACATGGCAGCTAATAATTGTCCGTAACTCCAGTTCCAGGGATCTGACAGCCTCTTCTGACCTCCACGGGCACTGCACAACACGGGTGCACTTACCTACATTCAGGCAATACATGCATACACATAAAATAAAAATAATAAAGTATTTTTAAAAAAAGAATTACAGTTTATTTAAGTGCATTTAGCAGTCTTTTGATAATTTAGCAGGATGTTGCTTGTGGGGTCTTTTGTTATCAGCAGAGATTGACGGTGACGATCATTGCTATTGCTTTGGTCACAATTTCCTGTGTACCAGTATCCCCTTGTTAGAACAGCAGACTGAAGACCACTTGGCAAATGCAGTTAAACAATCCACCCAAAAGATTTTTTTTCTGTCTGTTTAGAATCTGTTAGATGCTAATCTCTCTATACCAAATGCTGTAGCACAGTTAATAAATATTATTGCACAGTTTGATATTGCATTGCGTTGGTGAATATGACTATTGTGTAAGGTTTTTGGTTTGTTTGTTTGTTGTTTGTTTGTTGTTTGTCTTTGAAACAGGCTCTTCCTGTAGCCACAGCCTCCTGAAACTCACTATGTAGACCAGGCTGGCCTCAGTCTCACAGAGATCTGCCTACCCCTGACTCCTGAGTGCTGGGATTAAAAGTGTGTACCACCATGCCCAGTTGTAAATTTTTAACAACATAAAGTTTTGCTTACTGGCTCTGTTGTGTTCTTTATTACATTATTTTAAATTTCTCAGTGGAAAAAATACCAGTTTCCTTATAGTAGTGGTGGTATATTCTGGAAAGAATTATCACCTAACCTTTAATCTACTACAGATAACCTGTTTGTATACACCTGAAAGCAATGAATTTGGAAAGACAGAAATATTAAACCATATTTATAAATATCATTTATCTCTACAATTTATATTTTATTTGCAAATTTTATGTACATTATGAAATATTTTCATATCTCAATATAGACTAAAATAAAAGACATCAGTTACTCAGTTTTATCAGTTCTCAAAATGTGGCCACATTTACTTTAATTATTTTCAAAATTTATATTTGTTTTTTTTTTTTTTTTTGGTTAAGACAGCATTTAATGTTAGAATGTGTGCTTTTTAAATCTGAAGACAAAGACTGTTTAACCAGATCTCTTTCATGAATACAGAAGCTTGTGAGATCAAATCCCTCAAATTCCAGAGCTCTGAACAAGTGGAACCAGAGTGATCAAACAGCTGTTTTGTTCCAGCATCTACAGTGGCTGAGAAATGACGTAATAGTAAATACCTGTAGATGCACAGGAGGCACTCCTTTATGTAATCACAAATATACACATAACTAAAAATAAATATTTTATATACATATATATCTCTGTGTGGCTGCATGATTTTGTGTGCATCAGGGGCCCATGGAAGGTGTTGAATGCCCTGGAGTTGGATTTACATTTGGTCATAAGCCAAATGACGCCAGTGATGGAAAATGAACCTCATTCCTCTGCAAGAGTGATAACCACTCTTTAAGTGCCAAGTCATCTCTCTAGCTCCCTTTAATTGGTTATAAAGAAATGAAGCAACTGAAATTTTTAGTGTAACTTTTATTCCCTCCCTTCATAGAGGAACTGCTATACCAAGTATATTGTTTCTGTTTCCCTCAATTTTTTGTGCAATATATAGTATTATACTGCATGCTGTGAAATCATTTTTATAAATGCTGTCAGTTTAGTAGTATTCCTCCCAACATTGCTATTGTCATTCAGCTTTTTCCCCCTTTTTAATTGATTTTTTCCAAATTTCACACAATATATTTTGATGATATTTCAATACCCTCCCCTATCTGCACAGTTTTAAAATATAACCACATTAATAGGTAGGATTAAGTTCACTCGTTTAAATATTTTATAGTATTCCTTTTGTATGATAGAGTTTTGGTAACAATACATTTTGAGGGTATAGTCCTTCAAAACCACTCATATTTTGAACACCAACTACAAGGTTGTAGCTTTTGAAAAGTGAACTTCAGGATCAATAATTAGTTTGAAGAACTTAATGGGACTGACTGAAAGTATGTAATGGTTTTGTTCATTAGAGGGAATAGATATATGCTTATTTCATTCAACGTCTTTAGGGCAGAACGCAGAGTGATAATAAATATAGAATGTCTAGAATGCATTCTCACTAAAGAATCAGAATATTTTTCCTCTCCAACCAAGAAAGCGCATGTGAGGATTAGTGTTCTGAATTTTTTATTGATGTTCCATCGCTTAAGCATAACTGTCCTTGAAGATGAGCTCAGCTGCAGTCCTCTGGAGGTTAGTTGATAGTCAGGTGATGCAAAGTTCTCACCCCAAATCAAACTGTTGATTTTACTGATGGGGCCACCCCATCCTAAGGCTGTCTTCTCTTCCCCACCTTGATTCTAAATCATTTTCTTAAGACTGTCTCTTGAACCATAACCATTGTGTCTAGGCAAACAAAAACACGCCTTTCAGTTATGACGTTTAGGGAGCTAGAGAGCACCTCCCAGAAGCTCTTTGTGGCTTACCGTCACCTGTTGTCCAGATGTTTAAAATTCTCAAAATTCTTTATTTCTCCAAAATTTTTGTAAGTTTCATATTTGATTGAAGAACCTCTTTCTTGCTCTCGTATCGTACATATATATTTTTTTGAGTTTTCTTTTTCATAATTGCACCTGTTCTCTTCCTGGAATTGATTTTGAATACAGTGTGAATCAGGGATGATTCTACTGATAAATATATCCTTTGTCTCCGAATTTATAATGGCCCATTCTTTCCCTCTCATTTGTAATGCTACTTCTATTATAACCATTTCCCAGTAGGCATGTATCTTTCTGTTAATTTCCTATTTCAGCTCTTAACTAGCTCAGTGTGATAAAAACAACACAAATTTATTATCTTACATTCCTGGAGGTCAGTAATCTGGAAGGGACCAGCAGGGCTGCATTCCTTCTTGAAGCAGGAAGGGAAGAATCTGTTCCTTGACTTTTCTAGCTTAAAAAGGCCACCTGCATTCCTTGGCAAGTGTCCACCTTCCACAAACAGCATCATTCTGACCTTTGTTCCTATCTGCATAACTTCTTCTCTGACTTTGACCTTCCTACCTCTTGTTTTGAAGGCCCTTGTAATTGTGTGCACTTACTGGATAATCTCTTCATTTCAGGGCCTTTAATTTAATCATACTTGCGAAGTCCTTTCTGGTCTGTAATGTAACATGTCCATACGTCTCTGGAATTAAAGTGCAGACTTGTGGTGCGGGAGTTGAATACTCAGCCTAGTACCGCCATCTTTCTGACACTGCATTGTTCTTTTCTTACATTTTTGATTCATCTATTTTAAGCATACTTCTAAGCTCTCACTGGTAAAGTTTCAGGGGGTTGGCCCTGTTCTTTATTCTGTTTAATGATTGTCAGGGCTTGATAGACTTCTTTAGATGCTTTGTGATTTTAAATTCTAGAATCATCATGGGACTCTTACCCATAGAAGTTTCATATGGACCTAGTAGAAGACTATACTGTCCAAAACTTTAGCATTTGCTTCCACCAATTCCGTGGTTTTATCGTTTACCCAGAGCCACTTTTCTTCATAGTTCCTTGGTCATGGTGTTTTGGGTCATGTAGTGGTGTAATTCAAATTCTCCATGTTTGTGAATTCAGAGTACTGCTTGTAAATATAGAGATATAAGCTTCCAGTAGTCGAGGCCTCAGGTAAACAACTATTTTGTTTTCTCCTACTAATACTGAGTGAATTTCTTTCCTAGACCAGTGATTGCTGAAGTGTAGCCCCTTAAATATTCAGATGTTTATGAAAAGTGTTTTCATTTTCTGCTCTCTGTCCTTCAGAACTTAAGGCTTGTTCTCTGTACATTGGCACTGAAACCCTTATACTTAGGTGTCTGACACAGGCAAACCCCTTACAACTTCTGCTGCATTAACTCAAGCCACTGCTCTAGGTTTTCAGGTATCAGTTTCTTCTTTGCTCCTGGAGATTTGCTTACTTTTATGGTAAGTGGCACCTTCAGAGGTTTTCTAAAGCTTTCTTTGCTCTGTCCCTCCTTGTATTTGTCTCCAGTGATTTTGTTGATTTGCTCATAATCACCTCAGGAGGACATTTGTGGTTTATATGTCTTACAAATTTAGGAACTGATTTGGGGCAATATTTAACTCTTGGTTAGTGACACTTCTGGCTTGGTCATAGTTTTAGAGGTCAATATTGTATGATTAACAGCAAGATACTGCTCGTCTTACCTCAGAGAAATTCCTAATGTTAACAGAGAAAATTGTATATTCTGAAATTTCTTTCTCTATAATACCAGTTAGTAAGAGTAAGATGCTTAAATACCATTACTTTACTTTTTATAATAATCATCCTAATTCTCATGTTTCTGTTCTTTTTCTAGAATGTGTGCTGTGTTTGGTGGAATCTATTGTCTTCGCCATTCTGTACAGTGCCTTGTAGTGGACAAAGAATCCCACAAGTAAGAATGTTATAAGAAACCTTCCTATATTTATACCCCAAACACAGGTGAAAAATGCTGAAGTCACTTTAAAAAAATGATGCTTGAAAGATCCACCTTGGCATTAATAACATATCAACCTTGATTAAAAGTAATTTGTGTTTAGGTCCTCCAGAACAAGGAAGTGAGTTCAGAATATAGAAACTAAATTAATTTCCCTGCAATATGAGTATAGCTCCTGATCATTCAAGCTTGGAAGACAGATCATTTCAGCTGCCGGGGGTAGGTGATGAGTGATGTTAGTTTTCCTTGTGGCCTTACCTCCTCTAATTGATTTTCATCAGATGACAACAAAGCCCTCTGTTATTGCGGTTTTTAAAAATGGAGCTCACCTAAAGACTCATCAGATTAATCTCTGCTGATAATGCATGTCACTCCAAGAGAAAAGGCTTTAATGAGTTTTTAGGTAGATTGTTGTCATAAACTATTGCTGCCCTGTTATCTGAGGATAAATTCTTTTACAACAGTATCAGTCCTGCAAGCTAGTAGAAGATTAAAATGTGAAATTTACCGGCTTTCTTACAAAAGCTGAGCATCGTGTATTTTTTGTATGTTTTTATGTTTCAATCATTTTTCTAGGATATATTATTATTTGCTAATGTACATTTGTGTAAATTATATTAAGTAACATTCCATGATACAGTTTCTAAGTTTTACCTTGAAGCTGTTGAAATTGCCATGTGTTTTTCTTTTCAGTTAGATGTTCTTTACTACCTATTGACCTGTGTTTCATGGATAACTATATTTAGAGATATATTAAGAAATATAAGTTTTGAAATAATAAAATATCATTATTACTTTGAACAAGAATCTTAAACAGATTATGTTCATAATAAGGTGCTTGTTTCATTGTGAAATAACTCTGTAGTCTGAATGGCATAAAATGAATATTAACATCTTTATAGTGTTAGAAGTAGTACATTGAGCTATGGCAAAGAGAAGGCTCACCTCTCGAAATAATGCATATTGAATTTGCAATTCAGTGATATATGAACTGACACGTGCTTTAAGACACTTATAAAGTACTACATACATGAAAGAAGTGCTAATGTGCAGTGAACTATCGCAAAAGGCTCAGATGTTTGGATCTTGCCTATAAGAGTTCCATGTAAGTGTATGAAGGCATGCTTGCCTTTATGCTGTGCAGTGTTATTGTACTTCCAAGTTCATTTTGAAATAAAACTCTTTTCCTGTGACAGAAAGCCAGATAATGAATTGCTTATTTGTTTAGGTCATTTTTATCATCTTTGCACACCATTTTGATTTCAGTGGCATAAAGAATTTACCTGGCTCATATTTGTTGTGGATGTTTTCTTTTATTATTTTTAGCAAAATGTATATGCTAGTACAGTAAAGCATTTGTTGAAACAAAGGCTACATTTACCTTACCTTTGACTTACATTTTATGATATACTCTGATTTTTTTTTAATAATCTGTAAGGATTCTAATTTCAACAGATAGGTGAGGGCTAATGAAGTAGAAACCCAAAGAACCTTCAGACTGGCAGTTTTCAAACTCTAAAATGCCTAACTATAACCAGGCAAGCTTGTTTTAAAATGGCAGATGTGTCTGCTAAATGAAATAGATAGGACAGGAATTTAGCTTTCGGTTGGTTTGTTTGGTATTTTTCGGCGGGTTCACTGTGTAGTCCTGGATTATACATGTGTGTCACCACTTTTGGATGGGAAATTAAACTAATATAAATAACCCTTAGATGACACTGAGAAACAGTGATCCATAAGGTACAGTTGAAGATTTTGGCAATAATACTATGTTCCATGGTGAGTTAGGGAATGGTAGGTCTTTATTTGATTATTGTAAGACCCTATCTAGATGAACTTGCCAGATACAATGGTAGTATGAATTTTAGGTAGTAGGCAGCCTGCTTCTACTTTAAGATCTTTTGTATTATCATATAAGTCCTGAAGCATCATGCTTATTAACAACTCCTAATACATATAATGTTCTGTTGGTCCTGCACTGAAAGAAAGTTTTGAAGTGCTGTGAATGAGAGCAAGCCCTTTTTTGAACCAATTTCTTTAATCAGCAAAATGAGTTAGAAGGACTTAGCAGTAATTTTGAATCTTCTACCAGTCTGACCTTATGTTTTGGTTAAGTTCAAAGTTATTAGGAGGTATATACCTTTTCCTTAACACATAAATAAATGATCTTAAAATATTTTATGCATAAATGTGAGCCAGTTGTCACATAGTAATATTTTATTGCAGTAAATAATTAGTAACAAATTGAGCAATATATCTGTCTAGTTTTGTAAATATAAATGACATATCAGAATTTCTACTTCATGCTGTTTGTTATAGTATTATATTGCTTGGAAACACTGAATTCTTTTGAACAGATTTCTTTTGCTTTGTAGTTGTGCTGACTATGTAAAATTCTGACAAATTAACTTTGGCCCTTTAGCAGAGTATTAACATTTGGATAGGGTAGATAGGACCTTGGAATAGTGGTCTGCAAACAGTAGTCATCTAATTATTTCCATTCATGGTCAATGAGTACTTCAACTGTCTGACTTTAGGTTTCCTATGAGGACTGTTTAGAAATCTTTTTTTCTGCTGTCAGAAAAACTATACCTTCCCTGGATATTTGGAAGTTATGAATAAGTAGTTTATTAGAATGAACATAAGATAGTTGACTCTTGGTGTGTGTGTGGGGGTGTGTGTGTATGTGTGTGTAGTTTTTGTTTTGTTTTGTTGGTCTTTTTTGAGACAGGATCTTCCTGTAGCCCCAGCTGGCCTGGAACTCCCTATGTAGACCAGACTGGCCCAGAACTCACAGAGACCTGCCTGCCTCTACCTCACGAGTGCTGGAACTAAAGGTGTGTGCCACTATGCCCAGCTTAAGCTGGCTGGCTCTTAATACTTTGTTCCATTACTGAAGCTCTGGTTTGGGGCCATTCCTTTTGTAAAATGGTAGCAATTATATTCTAGATGCTTAACCTTGGCCAACCTACATTCTAGTTGCTATTATGTGATAAAGAAATAAAACATAGACTCTGCATGTAGAGATTACACAAAAGTGTGCGACCTTTAAAGTCTCATAGACTCTATTTGAATCCTGTCATTGCCATTTCCCATCCGTATGAAATTAAGCAAGTTGTATAGCCCCTCTGTGCCCCAGTTTCATTACAGAAAATGAGTTACCTGCCAGACCACACCACATAGGGTTATTGTGAACATTAACAGGACAGTTAACCCTCATAAAACCATTGATTACACACAGAAAGATTTCCATACACATTAGTAGCATATTTATGGAGTTGGAAACCTTGGCATGCCAGAAAGGAAGAGCTGTGGTAAACACCATTCTGTCCTATGCCAGGGAGTGTGAATTGTAATTAACTGTTTTTAAACATGATTAGATCTGTTGCTTTTAAGCTACTAATTTTGACAGCAATTTAGAAGAAGCAAGGAACGGACAAGAGATTTCTTTACCTGCTAAATTACTATTTATCTTTTTTCATTTCCTTGTACTTTCCACAAACACATACTACTTTCATCATCCATCCATTCACACATTCATGCAAGTATTAGTTGTCTTCTATGTGACAGCCACTAGGGATCCAGTAGAGAACAAGACAGTCAGGAGCTTTTTTCATAGAGCTTACAGTCCACTGGGGAACATTATAAAATAATTAAATTAGCAAAGTAACTGCATATTGAGAGCTGTTCAGTTCACAGATCTGACTCTCCTTCTCTGTGAAGAGAAAATGTAAACAGCCTCCATGGCTTTATATTAATCTCTGAATAGAGTCTGAGGCATTTTAGATGACGTGAGACATCTGGCCCCTGACTGACTCTCTATACTCATTTCTCTCCACTCTTTATGTCCCAGTTTATTGTACATAATGCTAAAGCACTTGTGGGTTTCCATAATTTTTCCTCTCCTGTTGACTTTGTACCTGAGACATTCTTGTAATTATTTGTGTGCTAACTCTGTTTGACCCTGCACAAGTATTGTGAATGTGCCATACTGCATTCCAATAATTGCTTTTGTCTGAATCTTTACCATTACTTCTTGGAGCAATATTGTTATGCCATTTATGTTGAACAAATAAGATACCAACTTATAAGTGGTCCCTTACCTCATTAGATGCAGTGAGAGGCTACAGCAATGTCAGTGGTGACGGGAGAAGAGGCTGATTACAAGAAACATTTTAAGGTCGAATAAAATTTTAGTACCAGATTAGATATGAAGAGATTTGCAGTGGGCAAACTCTTACTGCTAGTTATAGGCTGATTTGATGAAGAGATTACAAGGGAAGGAGGCATAGGGGGAACTGTAGTAAAGTCCGTTTGAAATATGCTAGATATATAAACGAAGTAGGTAATAATAACTTTTTAGTGTTTACTTGAAATTTGATAAGAACAAAATTTTAAGTAGCTGCAGTCAATGTGTTAATTTGACTGTGTCATTTCTTACACAGTGTATGCATAAATCATCATACTGTATTCCTTGTATATGCATAGTTTTTATTTACCAATTAGATAATTTTTAAAGGATAATTGGAGTCTCTTAGGAAAGAACCAAATAGCCAGGCCTGGTGGTGTACACCTTTAATCCCTGCACTCTAGAGGCAGAGGCAGGCAGATCTGAGTGAGTTGGAGGCCAGCCAGGGACTATATAGTATCATCTTACTGCAAACAAAACAAAAAAGAAGTAAATTAATAAGAATGAACTAGTACATGATTGAAAGTATGAATATAGATCTTGTGAAGAAGTCAGAACAACATAGAAATATAGATTTAGACTTATCTACCTATTAGTGGCTTACAACTGGTGTAGTCAATTTTCACCCTAGATATACTGGTGCGAAGCATTTGGAACAGGTTTATGAAGAAGGTGGAGTTGAAACTAATGCGTTTGAAAGAACTATAAGGCATATTGAGTAGGGAGAAGTGTTTTGTTTCCTTCTCATTTCTTAACATTTTCCTTTTAATTATTTCATCACTGGTTTCCATACTGTATAATTACTTGGGATTTTAATTCTGAAGATCAAAGGGATTGCATACCTCTTAATATTGCTGGTTTTTTCTTCTTGTCCAAATTCCGGACATTGCATTTCAATCTTGTTCAGGGTTTTCTTCCTTATAGTCGTTTTGCTATTTATGCTCTTCTATCAGTAAACCACGAACTGAATGTGTGCTGTGGTTTGTTGATTTAGAAAGCCTAGCCCAAGAAATGTTCTGTCAGGCTTCAGTGATTCTTATGATCAGCTTGGTCATTGTGTCCCTGTAACTAGAACTCCTATCATGTTCCTCCTCAATTTACTATTTATGAGGCTCAGCAAGACCCTCTGCTGAAGCCTAAATGCTGTTAATCTTTAATGGCTTCCTCAGGTTTATGTGGGAGGAGTAGCAGGAGGAGATTTTAACGTGCCTGGCAGCACTGTTTCATTTTGCTGTTTTCCATTAAGTGGATGTCATCTAATTTTTATATTAGTCTTTATAATACAAAGATTAAGACTAGGTCCCAAATCAATATCCTTTCCATCGTTGTTCTGCCAATTAGACTGAATATATGACAATAAGTCAAGTATCTGAGGGGAAAACAAATTTTAACACTTGCTTAAACATGTCTTGGTTTGCACAGCTTTCTTTAGGCCTACAGCCTCAGTACTTCTGAGTAAGAATGTGAATAACAGGTGAGTCATGTTATTACCATCTACCGTGGCTGGAGGCTGGGCATTTGTGACAGCCACCTGACTCTGCAAACAAGAGTGGTTGCTCAGTATCGGTAGCTCTTTACTTGACTTGACCTACCACAACATAAGGATGCAGCAGTAGCTGTGGCCTGCTTCACTGTGATTCTTTCCTGGGACTTGGGAGCTTATCAGAATCTCCAGGGGTACATATAATTTGAAAAAGTCCCCCAGGTGTGATTCTGATTTGCTTCCTTTTCCTTTTCCTTCTCCTCCTCCTTCTCCTCCTCCTCCTCCTCTTCCTCCTCCTCTTCCTCCTCCTCACACTAATACTGTTTCATCAGAAGTTTCAGCGTAAACAGGCACATTTAATTAGCATTTTATCCTTGTGTAGTTGAACTTGCTCATTTCCAAATCCCCATATTTCTTCTTTGAGTTATTCACATTATTTTTAAAGATGTAATGTCAAAACCAGTGTCTGCCTGTCAGTAAAAGAGGCCTATTCAGTTTAGAAGCCTACAAAGCAGGAAAGACGTCATAAGCTTGAGTGCCAGGTTTATTTCTGTTTTATTTTTTGATTGTTTTATGTTTTTATTTATAAAATGGGAGCCCTTTGGAAAGCCACTCAAGTTGAGAATTTATATTTAAAGCACTTTCCTCTCACTTTTATTCTAACATTTTATGATGAGAAATTTCAAACCTATGCCAACGTCAAATTTCTACTGTGAACAATGTAATATACTTGCTTATTTACATATCTACACAAATATTCATCCCTTGATCCATCTCTTGATTCATCTTTTATGTACTCCAAAGCAAATTACAGGTATCAGCAAAACTCACCCTAAACACTTCAATATGGACTTCATGAACTACTGGCCAATGTTTTCCTTTGCCTTTTGATATAAAATTACAGTAGTGTTCCACCCATTAAGTGCTCACTAGTTGAGCCTTGCCAAAAAATAAATCTGTATACACAAAATCCTTCAAAAATAAAGAACATTTTGTGCTCTTTTTTTTTTCTTCCTGTGCTATTCCCTCTTGCATTTCTGTAACTTCTGAGCTGAAAGTAAGAAAAAGGTCTTGTTGGCGGCTACAGGACAAAAAGAATCAAAGTGTAATGACAGCTCAGCAGATTTCTCCATTTCTTGAAATACTTTGTTTCTTAAATTGTTTATGAATGCCTCTTTTTATTTCCAGTTCTACAATTATCTTGGCTATATCTGGATGTAAATCCTTGGTGCTTATTTAGTAAAGCATTTTATAGGTAAGGCAAGAACTCTAGTTTAATCAAATGTGAGGAATTGGGGGAGAACTGAAGTGGAGGCAAGGTGGGAAAATCACTTAAATAATATTCAGTACAAAAAAAGTATATTAAAATGTGCTTAATTGGTTAAAATGTTGTACATAGCATCACTAGATGTAATACTTTAAGCTGCCTGCACTGATACGTAATTTATACAAGAATATCAGTAAAGCGTAATATACCTTTTAGAAAAAAAATCAAATTCCTTTCTCTGTTGGTCTTTGGTACTGGTCACATTATTTTAATGTCTTTATGCCTGGTAAATATCCCTGATTTGTCTTGTTGTAGAAAAATTGAACATATTCTAATTTATATCAGAATACTTTAAAATATGAGTGTGAAATCACTTGCTTACATTTTATGAGGAACAACATATTACTATATTTCTGATAAAATAATTCTAATCCCAAAAGGAGAAGCTGTGACAAAAGCAAATTGATATTTCCATAATAAAAAGATATAGCAAACACATCATTTGCATATAGTTCCTGAAATACTGTATAGTGGCTTTTGTCAGTGCTAGTAAGTCCATTTCAAGGATGTCGCCCTTAGTCCATTAGTTTGGATAATGAGCCCTATAAAGTACATTTATAACTTGTGGCACTGCAAGGAGATGGATTCTAATTTTCATCCTTTCATCTAGACACATTGAAAGAAGGTCAATGGAGGGTTCTATATGATTCATTGTCCCAACACATATCAGATGACAGAGACCTGATAATGTCCGTGCATAAGTGTTTTCCTTATTTGGAAACAGCACTTGAAAGAAATCTTTGCAAGATCATCCTTTGAAGTAAAGTGGAAACAGATATTAAAAGAACCTCTATCCTTTTTCTTTTCCTGTTTAAAACATTATCAAACGTGTGACCAGATAGCTATTCTTGAACAAAAGAGAAAGCAACACTTAACAGAAAAATAAAAAGCCTTTAGTGCCTTTTACAGGCTGTGAATGATACAAGAAGATATTTAATCAACTTTTCTCTCCTTTTTGTAGACCTATTAAGGTAGGAGGGGCTGATTTTTCTAAACAAAGGAAAAGATTCTGTGTTCCTAAACATGATAAAAACCTGTATTTACATGATAATGCTTATGCTGGCTTTACACTTATGTATTAATAGGAATTAAAATACATATTTTAAGTAACATTTTACATTTATTTTATAGCATAAACAATTTCAGTATAACAACCAGAATATACAGCCTGTGGTTCATTGTCAGAAATGTGGCATTGTTGATGATGATTTCATCTTCACAAGGTTTTAAATTCAGAATCAGCAGCTTATTATTTCATTTTCCTCATTACTTCATCAATATGAACTTTTCTTCTATGTTTACCTTCTTTATAGATGCAAAGCAATCATAGATCAGTTTGGTCAAAGAATACTATCTAAACATTTCCTTATCGAGGACAGTTACCTTTCTGAGAACACATGCTCCCGCGCACAATATAGGTAGGTGCCTCTCCACCCGCTAGCCAAGAGAAGGGGAAACGTCTGGCTGTGAGGTTTTCTTGACAGTTCTCCATGATTCTGTTTTCCAAGTAGCATGCAAAGGTATACCAAACAAAATGTATACTCTGATTCTTACCATACTTTCCTTATTGGTTCTGGTTTCTGGGGAAGTTCAGCCTCATTTTTCATCCTTTGCTTCAGCTGGAGTTTGTCTGTAGGTCATGCAGCCTTCTTTCATGAGCCAAGAAAAGATTAAAGTGGAGCTTAACTGGGTTTTGACACTTTTATCCTGCTTAAATCTTTGAAACATGCCTTCTGCTGCTTACATAACAATAAATGAATCTTGTCCATGGATTCTGAATCGCTGCTTTACTCTTTTGTGCATTACAGGCAGATCTCCAGGGCAGTCTTGATTACAGATGAGTCTGTACTAAAAGCAGATTCGGATCAACAGGTAATGTAGTCCTATATTGTTTAGAATGAATATTGTGTGTGTTATGAAGGAAAACATGATATTTTTATATACATGGTGGACTTACTACACTCACACTAATGAACACATTGGTCTTTTAAATGGTTAATATTTACGTGGTGAGAACAGTTAAAGTCCACATTGGTCTGCCATTGCTAATTGACCTGTCTGAATCTCCTATTAAACCTGGGCCTTGTGAGTAGGTCTGAGGGTGACAGGGAGGTAAAACTGTGAAGAAAGCGAGCAGAGACAGCTTTTTGAAGAAGCTAAGCTGTGAAGAGCAAGAGATAGGAGCTGGATCCTAAAGAGGGATACAGAAGTGAGCAGGGCATCCTTTAAAGAGTTACTGTATATTTCATCTAATAAAATGGAGTCAGCAGAGAACTTGAAAAGCTAAGGTTAGAAGGAGAGGAATTTAAGGATGAAGTCCAACCACAGGTCAGAGAGAGTGATATTCAGAGAACCAGACAATGTATTGTCCTTAGATAGGAAAATGAGACATGTTGAAGCTAGAGGGTGAACTCAGGATCATTTGTGGGTTTGGGAGTTCCCACCTGATGAATTTCATTCTTTAAATTACATGGTGAAGTCTTCTCCTGAGAATGGGACTTTATTAGCAGATCAAACATCAAGGGAAAATGTGTAATAATCACTTCAGGGACCAAGAGTGTGGCCTGTTTTATAGACATCTTGTTGAGCAGTATCAATGATCCAGTCAAGTATAAGGATCAAAGATTTGCAGTGTTGTGAATCTGCTCTGGTCCTTCTAGCTCTTTTATTCTTCTGTTCCCATCCAACCTGTTAATAGACCTGCATACCCTTGTCCCTTCAATCTCTTCCTAGCGTATCATCTCTCTTCTCTCTTCTTCCTTTCCTGTGCCATAGACCCCTTGGTATTTTTCTCTTTTTTTTCCTGATATCTTAAATTCTCATGCTACCCTGGTCTTCTACTGCACTCACAGACCCCTATAATCTGCACCTGTGTCACAGACGGCCACTTGAGAAAATCACACACCCCGATGTACCTGGCTCTCCAACAGTCATGCTACAAGCCTCCTTCAGCTGGATCCTCAGCACATATCACTCGTCACCTATCCTACTGGATTTAGATTGCTTTTACCCCACTGGCTAATATCAGTCTTCACTTTCATTCTTCTTATCCTCTGCTCTGCTCACCCTCTTCCATCCCTGGGTAAAGACTGCCCACTGTACACAATGGTACTTTCTTTTCCACCACCCATAATATATGTATACCATCCCAGGGGTGAGTAAGGGGACTCCTTCTTGTCCATAGGCAGCCTCCTTCATATGTGCCTTTGACACATGCATGTGGACACATACAGACACATTCACTCATTGGAATTTTTAAAATGAAAAACAAAACAACCTTCCTTGGTCCTCTAATTCTACCCACATCTCTGTCTTGTGCTCTTCCATCCTTTCCTTTCTTTGTACAAATATTTTGGACAAACTATACTTGTAGCCTCAAATTCTTTGCCTCACAATCATTTCTTTTCCATTTTTAAAAATTCTTTGAGAGTTTCATACAGTGCAGTATTCTATCATATTGTGCCATGTCCCCCGTTCCTCTCAGGTCGATCCCCACCTCCCTACTCAACCACCTTTGTGTTCTTTTTTCCCCCATCAAGTCCAATTTGTGTTGCCCCCAAGTACTCTTTAGAGTGGCACTAGCCCTGGAGTGTGGCCCACCTACCTTGCCCCCCATGCTGGGATTTCGTCTGGCTTGAGCAAGAACTATGCATGCTCACAGTTGCTATGAGTTCATATGTGCAGCTGCCTTGCTGTCTGGAAAACACTGTTTCCTGATAGTCACTTGCCGTGTCTGACTCTTACAATCTTCCCACCCCCTCTTCCACAATGATTCCTAAGAATGGGGAGGAAAGTGTTTGATAGAGATGTACCATTTAGGACTGAGCATGCCACAGTCTCTTATTCTCTGCACACTGACCTGTTGTGAGCCTCTGTAATAATTGCCTTTTCCTGTAAGAATCTTTTTTTGATGGAGGTTGAGAGATGCACTAAAGTCATTTCTAAACCATAACCTGGTTTCTGCCCTTACGTTTCTACTATAATTACTCTTGCTAAATTGAGTAAAAACATAATATTCGGAGTCAAGGGACATTTTTTTGATTGTTCTGTAGCAGGACTCTGCTGTTTTGCACAATATTCATATCCCCCTTCTCTTCAGCACTATTTCTTTGCCTTCTGTGACCCTCCCTGTGCTCCCCTCATTTTCTCATGACCCTAACTGTCCCTTCGCTGCCTATTTGAAACTCTTCCTTCCCTGTCCTATCTTTTGATATCGGGACTCTTCAAGATTCTCCCTTTAGCCCACAGTATTCTCTTGCTCTATGCGTACACACCCGATTCCTCCATGTATTCCCACAGTCTCTACTACACATAAATGCTGGAAACACCACCAGTATATATCCCAAGGGTGTCTGGCCCACATGCCAAATTCCTGTTGGATGTCTCTCAAGAGATAAGCACTTAAAACTAAGTCACCATCGTCTGTCCCCACACTGCTTCTATTTAGTGCTCATTGCCTCCGCAAAGAGCTGATATTTTCCCAGCCATGTGAACTCCGTTCTCTGGTTCTCTGGCATGTCATGTGCCTTTGAATCTTGTCAATACACATCGTAAAAATTTCTTCAGTCCTTTCATTTCCAATTATTATTCTCAGTGTTCCAGTGCTCACCAACTCTGCCTTCCAACTGGTCACCCTGCTTTATGTCTGTCTCCTTATAGATCCATCCACCATTAGAATTATGGGTCTACATGCCTATCTTTATTTCCTATGGGAAATTTCTTTCTTTGCCGCCCTCCCCTTTCTCCTCTCTCCTCTTCTCTTCTCCCTTTCCTCTTCTCTCCTCCCCTCTCCTTCCTCTTCCCTCCCCTCCCTTGCTCTCTCCCTTTCCATTTTCTGTATATTTTTGTATTTTTGTTTTTCATAGAAACATCTGAATCATCTTTATAATCCCTCTCCCATGTGCACTCTCCCATAGCCCCCCCAACCAGATTTCATGCATTCTATCATTTACATTAAAGCCTGTTGATAAAGGTATTGTACCCAGACATCCCTCAGTGCCAAGTTCATCCACTGGTATCTAGTTAGCCTATCCAGAGTCACTCTCTTAAAGAAGATTTCAGCTCTCCCTCAGCCACATATAATCAACTGCCAATAATTTTTCAGCCAAGATTGGGGCCTGCTGCCCATTTCCACAGTTCTATCCTGGCTTTTTGTCTGCTTGAGTTTGCACGTTTCTTGTATATGCTGACACTATTGCTGTAGATTCATGTGAGCAAGGTCCAAGAAGCCTGTAAGACTGTTCCCATATGGTCATGCACCTCCTCCCCTGGCTCTTACAATCTTTCTGTCCCCTCTTCCACAATGGTCCCTGAACTTGGGATGGGTGGAGTTTAATATAGGAGTCCTATCCAAGGGCACATACTCTACAGACTCTTATTCTCTATTCTTTGGCCCTTTCCATTTTTATCACAGATAGAACCATGGGGATTAGAAAAAGGAAAATTATGTGGAAAGTCCTGGCAAATTTGATGCTGATATTAAAGGGTAAATGCAATTCCCTTTAATGTGTTTTAAAATATCTATTTTACTTGAGTTGGTTAACTTCTCAGAGTTCAGGTGGGGAGGGGCTCTGGTAGAATATTACTGATTATATCTCAGCAAGTGATCATTGCATAGACGAAAAGAAATTCTTATATATTGGAGTCATTAAAGAAAGGTATTTTTCAATTATGATCATATTTTTGGTCCTAGTCATTTTATTATTTCACAGTGTTGAATATCTGGTGGTTTCCTGGTTTGATGCTAAAGAACAACATTTTCTGTTCTTAATAGCAGCAAAGTGAGTTATGAGGAACATGGAGAACTTTTTTTGAGATATCATGAGCCCCAAAATAGATGTCAAGTAGAATAGTCATTATTATCAAAATAATTTCTATTTTTAAAATTTGTCATAGTTGCTTCCTGTATGAGATATGAATATGGCATCCCCAGTCAAAAAAAGCACATCACTTGTAGGGCAAACTGAAAATGTGGCTTTCCCTTTCAGCAGCAATTCCGTTTTGAAAGAATATACTTTCCTCAGATTGAAGATTTGAATGAAGATCAATACTAAACTTTTAGCTCCACAGAGAAACATTGTTCTGATGCTCATGTAAAGTCTTTAAACCATGTAACATCAATAGTCTAGAGGAACATTAGTCTAATGGTCATGCAAAGTCTTTTAATTATAAACAATATGATATATCAATAGTAGCTAGAACCACTTATTAAGGTAATCAGGTTTTAAGTACCAAAGTGCTTATATTTCAGCAGTAATACTGTAATTGCATCCCTTTGAGAATAGTATATAATAGACATAGTCAGTGCTAAAGGTTTGAAATATTTGTGGTTGATAATTATGTAATTAGGAGTGATAAGTTATACAGAAATGAAATACCAAGATGTGTGCACGTTACATGTTTCTAACTGTACTACGAAATTAAATCCTTATAAGCCAAATATAGTCAAACATCAAGGGGCATTTGGAAAGCTGGATGTTAACACTCTAAAGACAAAAGAATAAAAATGAGACCTAACAGTTATTTCTGCTACTTTTTTCTGGTTTTTAGATCTCCATTTTGACAGTGCCAGCAGAGAAACCAGGAAGTTTTGCTGTTCGGGTCATTGAGTTGTGTTCTTCAACAATGACATGCATGAAAGGCACATGTAAGCACAGTAGAGTCAAGTTATCTTTTGTGTTTGGTTAGTAAATTTAAGGAGCAGATATTCTGCATAGCTGTACTTATAGATATTCTTCCAATTTTTATTCTCCATAGTCCTTGCTCATATGTACGTACAGCCATACATTATGTAATTTCATACCTTCCCTTCCAAGAATTCCTGTAGCTAAATCTTCACAGACATAATTTTTTTAGATCTTAAATGAACAAATTTCTGTGACTTACCAATTCTTTAATTCTCTTTAAGCTTATTGAAAATTACTTTCACAAAATTTCTGTTCTCACCTGCTTGATCTCTTCTTTGCTCTCTGCTCCAGTCTATTCAGGATGCAGTAGCAAAATCCCTTAGACTCTGTAATTTCTAAGCACCACATTTATTTCTCATAATTCTTAGATCGTGTTGCCAGTAGTTCCTGCTGATGGCTTTTTCTTTTATGTGTCCTCATATGGCAGGAGAGAGAAACAGGCTCATTTCAGGCTCTTTCTAAAGGTTTTAATCAGTTACTATTTTTTTCAGCGGTATATAAAACAAAAATGTGTACAGATTCCTTATAATGTATTATGTGATGTTGAAGTGCTTAGATACAGAAATCATATCATCTGCAAACAGTGACTATTTGACCTTCTTTTTCAAATGTTCATGCCTTTCATTTCTTTCTTGTCTGATTGAGAACTTCTAACACTATGTTGAATAGAATCCATAAAAGTGGGTTTTCTTCCCTTCAAAGATTTGGCCCTCCCCTTTTTTGATGGAATTGAGACTTGAATATTGAGCCTCAGTGCATGCTAGCCAATGTCGCTGAAGCTGGATCTTCAGCCTTCCTTTTACACTATTTTCTTTAGCTCTTCATCTTTCTCACTAGGTTGTATAGACTGGCGTTGAACTTGTGATCCTCCAGCTTTAGTCTTCCAAGTTACTGGAATTACAGGCCTGCGCTACCCGTTTGCCCTTTTTTTAATGAGAACACTTTCAAAATTATTTCCTCTAGCTTTTTCAAATATACAGCCCATAGTTATTATCTATAGACATTCTGAACACCTTCCTTCTATTACACTGTAATCACACTGTAATGTGGTACCCACTGACCTACCTTTTTCCAATGCCTATTGCCCCTCTATTCCCCTCAGCCTCTTTTAATGACCAGTTACATCTATGACTCTTTATTTCTATGAGATCAGTTACTTAGATTGCCTCTTCTTCCTTGCCACTATCCTTCTCATTTACTGCTAACCACAATTCTACTCACAACTTGCATAAGATCCACTGCCTTTTGGATCCCACATATAAGTTAAATCATAAAATACTTGCCTTTCTGTGCCTGGCTTATTTCCCTTAACATAGTGATCCCCAACTCCATCCATCTCAATCAAGAGAAGAACAGGATTTCATTATTTTTATGACTAAATAACAGTCCATTGTGTATATGTGCATTTTTAAGGTCCATTCATTAGTAAATGGATGCCTAGTTTATTTCTACTTCTTAGCTATTGAATACTGTCATAAGCATTAAGGAAATGATATCATTTTCTTTGGGTATATACAAAGTATTTGTATAGGTGGATCACATTGGACTTCTATTTTTAACTTTTTCAGTAATTTTAAGTTTTTCTAAAATGGTTTTACTACCTTATATTCCCACCAACAGTATTTAAGAGTCTCCTGTTTTCAATAACACCCCTCTCTGTCTGTCTGTCTGTCTCTCTGTCTGTCTGCCTTTATAACAGCTATTCTGGCTAGGGTGAGACACTATCTCAATGTTACTTTACTTTTTATTTCTGTGATATCTACCTTTTCTATAAACTTGTTCATTTGTATTTCTTTTACGAAACTCCTACTCAAATAATTATTTGGGTTATGTTGCTCTTGTTGTTATTATTGAGTTTGGGGGGGGTCTTATATATCCTGTTTATTAATCCCTTGTCAAATATATAGCTTACAAATATTTTCTCCCCTACTCTTACTTTTTCACTTTATAGGCTGTTTACTTTGCTGACAAGTAACCGTTAAGTTTTATGTATTCCTATTTGCCTGTTTTAGTTTTTGCTGCCTACATATATTTCAGGTCTTGCCCCCAAAATCTTTGTCAATAAGAGATAGAGGTCTAATTCCCTTTTTTGCTTGTCAACATCCAAATTTTCCAGCACTGTTTTATTAAATAAACTGTCCTTTGTCCAATTTGGCTGTACATGTGGGTTTGTCTAATTCTATGCTCTGAGTTTTTTTCCATTCATCAGTGTTTCTGTTTTTAACCCAATGCCATGCTTTTTAACCATATTCATTTGGTTCATGAACACAAGATCTCACTCTTTTTTCGTGTCCTCTTCAATTTCTTTCATTAGTGTTTTATAGTTTTCCTTATAGACATCTTTTTGCCTTTGATCAGGTTTATTCCTGGTGATAGTTTTTGGTAGCTTTTGCATATAGGCTTGCTTTCTGGACTTGTATTTTAGGCATTTTTCTATTGGCATGTAGCAACACTAGTGATTTTGTATGTTGACTTTTTATCCTGTAGTTATTAATATTAATTATTTTAATAGAGTTTTAGATGATTTCCATTTATAAGATTATATTACTATCTGAAAACAATGACCATTTGACTTCGGACTTTTCTAATTTGGATGCCTTTATTTCTTTCTTTTGCCTTATTGATCACTAGGACTTTCAATGCTTTGTTAAATAGAAGTAGTAAAAATATACATCTTTGTCTTCACCCAGAATTTACAGAAAAACTATATTTCCATAATTAAGATAATATTAGCTATTTGATTACTGTAAATGAACTTTTTTAAATTGAGGTGAAGTCCATTCCTTGACCTAATATGTTCAGATTTTTTGTCATGAGGATATGTTGAATTTTATTAAAAACCTTTTGTGATAGTTAATATCAATTGTCAACTTGACAAGACCTAGAATCAGTCATGAGAAAAGTCTCTGGCTGGATACACTTCTGAGAGATTATTTAGATTTTATTGGCCTTTAAGCATGTCTATGAGGGATTATCTAGATAAGTTAATTGAGATGGGAAGGCCCACCCTAAATCAGGTTTGCATCTGCCTTAAGCTTCTATCACCAAGACTTCTCTCCATGATGGACTGTACCCTGAAACTAGGAACTCAAATAAGTCCTTCTTGCCTTGAGTTGCCTTCATCATGCTATTTTATCACAGGAACAGAAAAAGTAACTAAGACTATTTTCTGTATCTATAGGAATAATCATGTTTTTTGTTCTTCATTTTGTTTATAAAATATAGTATATTTATTGATTTGGATGTATATATTAATGCTTTCTTGAAACTCCAGGGTGAATTCTACCTTATCTCATGGCCAATGATTTTTTAATATGCTGACCATTTGCTAATATTTTGATGAGGATTTTTGTCTGTATAATCTTCATTGATACTGGCCTATAGTTTCTTTTTTGTGGTTGCAACCTTTCTAACTTTTGGTGTCAGTGTCATGCTGGTCTCATATATCATGTTCAGAAGAATTTCATTGAGTAAAATTTTAGGCACATCTTGTATTGTTAGGAATTAATGTATTTGTGTATGTTCATGCATCTCTATGTACACTTATATGGACATCAGTGTATAGGAAACAGGGCCAAATGTTTTCTCGAATGAGAGTAAACGTGACAGGAGTTATATTCAGAGAGATGTAATATGGATAACTGGCTTTTAGGGTTTTCTTTTTCTTTTCCTGATTTTTCTGATTTTGTATGAAATACATTTAAAACAGGCGTTTATACTACAAGAATAAATGATTGCATTAATGATATGGGTCATAGTATGATCAGAGTTTTTCATACTACCCTAAATATCTTCCTTTGTAATATTATTTCTCTTATAGATGAAGTTTTACGTCACTGTAATAAAACATCTGCCCTAAGATTTATTTGGGCATACAGTTTTAGAGATCCACTTTCCCTTGGTCCCATGCCCTTGAGTGGAATATCATGGTGGCAGAGGACAACTGTTCACACCTTTGTAGAAAAGAAACAGAAAGCCAGGAAGGATCCAGGGAGATTCTCTACAGGACTCATCTCCATGAACTTGCTCTGTTAGCAGTCAACTGGCTGGGCTCCTTTTTAGCTATCTACATGAAAACTGTGTATGGGACAAAATGAGATCTTCATGTGCTCTCCTATGGCTGACTTATTTTTGTTTCATTTTGCTGTTTTTGGGTCTTTCTTTCTTTGTTTGTTTTTAATTGAACTTTTAGGAAGTGCATACAATATGTTTTTATCATATTTAGGCCTCTATCCCAATCTGCACATTTCTTACCCCTGCCCGCCCCCTTTTCTTTCCTCTGAATTTCAGGTACTCTGTCATATATGTTAAGGCCTATTGGGCCAAATTTGTGTTCCCAAATGTCCTTCAGGGAGTGTCTGTCCATTGGAGCCTTGCTAATCTATCTAGCCTCACATCCTTAAAACTGACTCTCCCTCTCCCAGCAGCTATCAGTTGCCAACAGTTGCTCAGCTAGGGTTGGGATTTCTTCCCTATATTTCCCCATTTATATATGCTGAGCTTTTGTATGGCTTGAGATTATGAGGTTGTGTATGCTGTCAACATTGCTGTGAGTTCATATGAGTAACTTCCCACCTGTCTAGAAAACTCTCTTTCCTCTTGGTCATGCACCACCTCTGTCTCTTAACAGTATTTCTAGGGGCTGGAAAGATGGCTCAATGGTTAAGAGCACTTATTGCTCTTGTAGAGAATGTGGGTTCAGATCCCAGCACCCATATAGCAGACTAACAACTGTCCGGAACTCCAGTTCCAGGGAATCTGATGCCCTCTTCTAGCCTCTGTGGGCATTGCATGACACGGATGCACTCTCATGCATGCAGGCAATACACACATGCATATACATAATATTTTATGTGTATGCATGTATTGCCATGCCATGTATTGGCCATGCCACTTTTGCAGCTCAGCTTTCTGGCTGCTCTACTGTCACTACCTAAGTGCCATCTCTGCTGCTTCTTTT